TTCTAGAAAATATTGCAGACGTAGATATTTCCTTTGAAAATATAGTGAATACTTAATACAGATGAAATCAGAATAGGTTTCTGTCTCAGAAAACACACACGAGGTGTATTATCCTCAGAAAGATGACAACTTTTATAAAGTTTATTTCATTCAATTAAAACTATAGATGTGTGAGGGGGTGAGAACATTTAAAGGTGCCCACAGGCTGTCGCTGTTGGAGTCCTCCCCCCAATCCCCAGGCCTCTTACCTTAACACTCTTCAGCATTTACTCTCATGTTTTTTCTGTTGGACTAAGTGATGAATTAGTTGTTTCTTTGTTTTAACTTGCAGTATGTTCGGTCAGAGGGGAAACTTATTGTATAAGCTGGCTGACGATGTTTTGCATTTTCTCCTACAATGCTCACCTCAGGATCCTAAGTAGTATCATTAAGCTTGTCTGTCAAAACAAGCGCCCAAACATCTGAGTTATCACTGTGGCTTTTTTTTTTTTTTTTCTTGGAATGGTGTCATTTTGGAATCTTTCCAGAGCTGAGCAAAACCAGGATCATCAGTCATTGAGAAAGTGTGTTCTCATAGAGACTCTTCTATTTGTTCGGAATGGCTTCTTTTTTACTAAAAGGGCCGTTTTGGGCCCAGAAAACTGAAACTTCATCTTCTCCTTGATAGTTTGCCAGCATGAATTCCAGCCAACCAGATAACAGTGTATCGTATCGTGGCTTTCTAGGACTCCTCATCTCGTAGCAGCCCTTGGAGGGCAAGTTCACTGAGCCTGCTTGGCGCACTCAAGAGAGCCAAAGGTGCTACCATCCTGCAGAATAGATAAACAATGTGTTACCAACGGAAGAGAGTGATAGCTGAAGTTCTGATACTATTTAAGTATTCTTTTACCATTTAAACAAACAAACAAAGCCAGGAAGGCAAAAGTTTCTTTGCCAGTTTTTGGTTCATAAATTACTAAACTCAGTCATAGGCATCTTCAGTACATATATATAGGCAGTGACCTCTTGCAGTTTTACCACTGTGTCCTTGAACCTTTCTTTAAAAAAAAAAAAAAAGTGATGTTTGGGTGCAGTGATGTACTCTTGTAATCCCAGTGATCCAAGCGTCTAAGGCAGGAGGATTCCAAGTTCAAGATCAGCCATACCAGTGTAGTAAGGCCCTAAGCAACTTAGTGAGACCCTGTCTCAAAATAACAAATAAAAAGGGCTGGGGGCTTAGATGGGTGGTAAAGTGGCCCTGGGTTCAATTCCGAGTACCAAAAAAAGGAAATATTTGTCTCCAAACCAGACTTCCTGAACTTCACCTGCCTAATGATTATTTATTTGGCATACACAGATTTCCTCTAAAGTACTGTATCAAGGACTTATCTTTTCATTTCAAATTACTTTCTGGAATTATCTATTTCTCTGACTCTTCTCACTTTACACATGAACTCCTGCAGTAAGCCAATATCTTGACCTAAGTCTTCTACCAGTTCTTACTACTAGAATGGGTACCACTAAGAAGTCATCCAGTGACAAGTGTTGGCCAGGATGTGAAAAAATTGGTACATTGCTGTGAGAATGTTCAGTGATGCAGCTAATGTGCAGCTTAGCAATTCCTCAAAAGTCTAACCCAGAATCACCATATGACCCAGCACTTCCTCTCCTAAGAATTTCACTCCTCAGAGAATTGAAAACATGCCCACGCAGAGTCATAAATGATGTACCCATGTTCACTGCAACATTATTCACAGTGGCCAAAAGGTAGAAGGAACCCAAGTGTCCATCCATGGATGGATGGATAAACAACATGTGGCACACATACCCACAATGGCCTGCCTGTTAGTCCTTCTTAAAAAGGAAGGACATTCTGATACATGCACAACATGGATGAATTGTAAAGACTTTGTGCCGCGTGAAATAACCTGGACACAAAAGGACAAATTTTATGGTTCCTTTTATATGATGCACCTAGGACAGTCACATTCATAGAAATAGAAAGCAGTATGGAGAAAAATGGGTAATGGAACCACCATTTGATCCAGCTATCCTACTCCTTGGTTTATACCCAAAGGACTTAAAATTGGCATACTACGGTAATACAGCCATGTCAATGTTTACAGCAGTTCCAAGTCACAATAGCTAAATTATGGAACCAACCTAGGTGTCCTTCAATAGATAAAGAAAATGGAGTATATATACACAATGGAATATTACTCAGCTTTAAAGAAGAATGAAATTATGGCATTTGCCAGTAAATGGATGGAGTTGGAGAATGTCATGCTAAATGAAATAAACCAATTCCAAAAAACCAAAGGCTGAATATTTTCTCTAATGTGGATGCTAATTCACAATAAGGCATTACCTTAGATTAGATAAAGGGAAGCGAAGGGAGGTGAGGGGAGGGGATGTTGAAATAGGAAGGATAGGAGTACGAAAAAGACATTATTACATTATGCATATATGTGACTCTATGACCAATATGATTCTACAACATGTACACTCAGAAAAATGAGAAATTATATCCCATCTATGTATGATATATCAAAGTGCATAAATGTATTCTATATCATGTATAAATAATTAAAACAAATTTAAAAATTATTAAAAAGAAGGTAGAGTGGTTGCTAGAGCTGGGAGAGGGGAGAATGGTGAGTTTTTGCTTAGTAGGTACAGAGTTTCTGTTTGGGAAGATGAAAAAGTTCTCTGTGGATGTTGATGAGGGTTGCTCAAGTGTGTCCTCAATGACACAAAAATCTATACTTACATGTGGCTAGAATGGCAAGTATTATATTACATATATTTATCACAATAAAAGAAATCCCTTGGAAATGAATGTTAATATATGTTAATAAATGTATTAAATGAATGTTAATATTTGTAATATTAAAAAACAAAAATAACTCCAATGTATCTCATTAGTAGACAAAGAAAATCTGGTATATCTATGGGTGAAATTTTACTCAGCCATAAAAAGAAACAGAGTACAACATGCTTGAACCTTCAGAAACATATCAAGGGAAAGAAACCAGACTCAAAGGTCAAATTTTACATAATTTCATTTGTGTAAAATATACAGAATAGGCCAATCCATAGATACAAAGTGGATTTAGTGGTCACCAAGAGCCATGGGAGGGTTGAATGAGAACTGACTCCTAGAGGGTATTGGATGTGTTTGGGGGGGGGGTGATGAAAACAATCTACAATTCCGTAGTCATGATAGGCAGTAGTGGCCCAACTTTGAAAATACTAAAATCTACTAACATTCTATGCTTTGAATGGGTGGACTCTATGGTATGTGAATTATATCTCAGAAAAACTAAATCTTGACTTTTATGATGCCATACTTCTGAAGAAATACTATATCCCAGACTGAGCTTATTATTTCTTAACTCTGTGACTTTGAGAACAAGTTGAGCCCTCCTTTCCTATGCTATAAAAGGGAAATAATAATAATAACTACCTTGCCAGGTTTTTTGAGAATGTTAAATGAAATAACTCGTAGTACATTTAGCATAGTAGCTGGCATTCTCTAAGAACCCAGTAATTTATGGAAAACCTCCAGAACCTGAACTTGAACATCTTCTAATACTATTCCGGATACTATTTCAGGATATTCAAATACTATTTACAGATATTCAGGAAAATGGATCAACTCCATTAGCCATTTTACTAAACTGTTTGGATTTTATTTTATTTATCTGTATCCCCAAATATTTCTAATGCACCTTTAGAGAAATCCTTCAAAGTGAGCTTTTTCATCTCCCTCCATTTATCCCTGCAGCTGTATTTTTGCCTGAAAACAGTTCTCTCTTCCCATTCCTCTCTCTCTCTCTCCTCTGACTTTCACCCTGCTCTTAGACTTAGTGGACTTCTCTCATGTTTTAAACTTTCTCCCTTATTCCAGTGCATAGTCATCTCTGCTTTTTATAGCACCCAAGGTTTTTACTATATCTTTGACCAATGAAGTCTTACTTAGGTTATGTTTTTTATAATTTAACCATAATTGTATTTTGCCTGACATCATGCATTATAATTGTAAATACAGCTGCTGAACTATACAGAATCTATGAGAGTCAATCAGGGTGTGTGCTTTAAGAACATTTGAGTTATTTCTTAATATTGGACAATTAGCACTACTGTGACTATCAATACTCTTAACAAATAACTATATCACTCAGATTCTTTCCTATCATTTCAATGACACATTATTTTATTTTTACTGGTTGCTTTGATGATTATAATTTCCATCTTAACATTTTAATTTAATTAGAGTCAGTATCATATGAGTTTACTTAATAAAAAATATAAAAGCTTACCACAGATTGTTTACTTAGGTTATGCTTTTAAAGTCTCTATCTTCTTGAGTGATCTCTTAAAAATTATGTGTCTCCCACTAAATTAAAGTGTTTGAGCATAGGACCCACATGTTCTTACGCTATACCTATTCCAGAGCATGTAGTGCATTGCCTTAACATGGTATAAACTGGATACGTATTTACCATTTATGAGTTAAATTCATCCTACATAAAGATCCTCTAGGTACAAGGGTGGAAACTAATGATTCTCAATCCTGGCTTCACCATAGAATTACCTGTGAGTAGCTTACATCTTACCCAGTAGATCAGAATCTCTGAGCATAAGGGCTCAGCTTCACACCCAAATGATATTCTTAGTAGCCCAGGCTAAGAAACATTGGATTCAACAGATCATAATTTAAACCACTGGTTCCCAAGCCTAATGGATTATTGCAGTCAAGATGTGGAGACCACATGTGCTTTGGGCACTGCACAATGCTCTCTACACGTTAGGGAATACTATTCTTGGTGCTTTTGAGGGCATTATTGCTTGAGAAAGATCCTCTAACCCTAAATATTGTAACAGCCAACCATGTGATGGAAACCTCCACATATAGGATTCTAAAACCCCTAACACTCATGTAGTATTTTAAATAACAGGTGTATATGACTTAATTCATTTTGCAGACTTAAAAACTTTCAAACTCTTGTCTTTTCTAGGCTGGAAAACATTCAGCAGCAGACCCTCTCAAGATTATCTACTTGCCCTTGCTCCTGTTGAGTTGCCACATGTGGAAGCAGGAGATGGGCTCAGCAGCAGCCAACAGGACATGATCCAGGAGGAGCAGTGAGGGATCGAACTGCTGGTATGACAATGGGGACAGTTGGTGCTTGGTTTGAAAATATAGTTTTTTGTTTGTTTGTTTGTTACTTCATACCAGGATTAAACCCAGAGGCGCTTTACCACTGAGCCACATTCCCAGGCCTTATTTATGTAATGAAGATGGGTCTTACTAAATTGTTCAGGCTGGCCTTGAACTTGTGATCCTCCTGACTCAGCCTCCCACATTGCTGGGATTACAGGCATGTGCCACCATGCCTAGCTCCAACCATCTGTTCTAAGTTACCCTCTCAAATACCTTCATTATCTGTGCTTAGGACACATGGGATAGATTTTAAGATCAAGGAGTTGGCTAACCTTGTGTGCTGACCTCTATATATGTCTGTATTTTCCTGCATTAAAGGAACCTTTTTTTCCCCCCATCAGATTCATGATACCTCAGAATTTTTTAAAAAGAAGTAATCACTCAAATGTAACTATAAGCATGGAGAATTGTTACATCTGTAATCACTTGTTACATTATTTCTCTCCTTTTTAAATCTACATGTGGCCACGTTGTCTCAAACTTCTTAAGGACCAAATAAGTGGCATTTGTATTTATTTGCTGGTCTGACCAGCAAGCACATACTGAGTCTAAGCAGCCAGTTCTCGTAAAAACATGGCAGAGAACTAAAGTGTAGAATGATAGATTTCAGGAGAGTCTTTGTGATTCTTCCCGAGAATTTCTGGAAATACATGACAGTGAGAGAGGAAAACACCAGACACTTTTTTTCATCTGGGTCTTAAAATTGACCCAAAGAGCAGTTTGCTCTGAATACCACTGAACTGCGAATGAGTATATCAAGCTATGTGTTCTTTATCAAATCCTTTTCACTTATGTGCATGCATAGAAGTAAGGAACAAATGTGATTTTTTTCCAAAATATTTAAGATGAAAACTAGCTTGAAACCTACTCTATCTTTGCCTGTAGAGAAGCCAGTTAAAATGATAGGGGCATTATAGGAAGAAATTAGAGGTTAGGTAGAAAAAAGAAAGTATTAGGCATTTTTTTTCCTTTTGTAATTCTTTCAGCTGTTAATTCAGCTTCAGTTTCACTGAATCTTGTTTATGCATTGAGCATAACAAATCTTCTAAAAAGCTATGTGGCTGTAATCTCTGCCTTCATCCCAGCCGCCTGAGGATAGAAGTATCCACTCTGACACTTGATACTTCTTAGAGACTGACCTGGTGTTGAGAAATCCTTTCCAGTTTGTCCTCATTTCAACTCCCATGATTCCTGGATGTTGCCATTTTCATAAGGCAAGTGCATCTGCCTAGATTACCTCTCTACTCTGGGAATTTTAAGTCATTGTGAGGGAAAGAGAACTCAGCACAGTAGTGACTCTCAGAATGAAAATTTTCCCCTTGCATGTTAATATTTTTAGAGTAATAATTGTCACTGAAAATAGACTTCCTCTTTCCCCTCTCATGCTGGAAAATTTTAGGTAATCGTGAATAAAGCATTCTTTACCTTTCCCCTCCTCCTTTAATGATTGCTTTTCTTCACACTGTGGGTAAGGACTGTGGCTACTCATTCTGTTCTTGTCCTTTACATGAGAACTGAGATGGAATTTTTATCTCTTCAGTGAAATCATAGCATTAGTCAGAAGATTTTTTTTTTCTACTTGGAGGTGAAGGGTGGGTAAGGAAGGAAGTGTATAAGTTCATGGAAAAATGTAAGATAAATTGCTAATAAGAAATTAAAATAATTCACTGCTTGGGAAAAAGCTTTTATAAGTAGCTTTCTGAAGAGTTCTTGTCCCACATCCCCCAACATCTTATTTTACTTCTAGTTTATATAGTTAGATTAGCTTAGCTAAGGACTTTTTTCGGTAGTAAATAGGACTGAGACATTTATTTTTAGTACATTTATTAGGGGTGTGTTCTTGGGAAAATTATTTAACTTCTTTTAAGACTTGCTTTATTTGGCAGTGAGGAAAGTAAGTAATAATAAGTAATAATGAAAGGATTGCTATGTGGATAATATGTATAAGGCCTGGCACATCTAAAGTCCTTTATTTTATAATAGTACTTGTTTTATTACTTATTAGTATTCTTAATGTTTCTTTCACTTTTTATTTTATTTTTTATCATTTTTAATTTATTTTTTGTATTGCTGGGATCAAACCCAGAGTCTCATGCACTGTAGGCAAATTCTCTACCATGTAGCTACACCCTCAGCCCTCTTTCAGTTTTAAAAATATAAATTCATTTGAAACTATTTCTTATATATATATATATAATTTTTTTTTACCTATCAAATACTAGGAACTAGGAATGTATTAATGAGCAAAATAGACAAAAATCTGTTCTTGTTGAATTTAGAATCTGGAGTAGGAGACAAACAAAATCAAGATAAATAAGTAATATGCACTTTATGCTAAATACCAAGAAGTACTAAACAAATATAAATGAGAAAGCAGGGTATTATGGTACATGCCTGAAGTCCCAGATAAGCAGGAAGCTGAGGCAGGAAAATCAAGAATTTGGGTCCAAGAGTTCAGAGTCAGCTTGGAAAACATGTCCAGACCCCATCTGTTTTTTTTTTTTTTTGTTGTTGTTTGTTTTGTTTTTTTTTTAAAAAAAAAAAAAGAAGAAGGAAGAGGAGAAAAAAAGAAATTGCATAGCATTGAAGTAGTAATTGGGAATACAGTAGTTGAGAATGTTCAAGGGAAGATTATACAGTTCCATCATATACCAACAATAAGTATTTACTCAAATACCCAAGGAAAACTTAGAATAAATGAGAACTTTAGAAGTTCAAGAAAGGGCGCAGTTCATTTGAACTATACCAGTTAAAGGAGGATTCACAAGGGGAGGTGGCCTGCTAGCACCTGGATCTTAAAGGATAAGAAGAATTTGGGTAGATAATAAGAAATAACATCTGAGTGAAGAGAAGTGAAGGGGAAAGAGTATGAGATGGAGTAAAAGAAGGATGTTCTTAGCTTGGAGGGCAGGGATGGGGAGGCTACCTTGTAGAGAGTCTATGTTGGCAAATAGAAGAACGGTGGAAGAACAGGGTAAGGCCAAAGTTTGTAAAATCCTAAGACCAGACTAAAGGTGCTGTCCTGTGAATATTGCAAACAAATAAAGCAGATAGGTAGAGGATTCACATCTTCAGTAATATTATTTCTGACAAATTTGGAAGAGTAGGGAGAGGGGTGCTATTCTGCATTGATTCAAGAGTGAGACTAAGAATATGGATTATGAGGAGAGAGGCAAGAATGAAATGGGAATATAGATCTGATATCTACTTTAAGGAAAAATCATGTAGACTTAATTGCTGATGGCACAAAGGAGATGAAAAAGAATCAAAGATTTCTCTCAGTTTTAAAATGACCAGTTTTGCCATTAAAGGAAAGAGAAATTTGGGGTGTATTGGGAGTTTGAATTCAGAGTAAATGAGGTAAGACAACCCAATGTAGACATCCTTAAGACTACTAAAGATAAAGTTCATGTCATTCTTGACATATAAACTGAATTAAGTTTCTAGGAACCACTTTTCCTATTTATTTAAAACCTAGGCAAATACTAACATGGTGAAAAAAGTCTGTCTACATCAAAATATACATATCCAAATCCTATATATTTTTGTTGTTTATTTTTTTAGTTGTCAATAGACCTTTATTTTATTTATTTATATGTAGTGCTAAGAATCAAACCCAGGGCCTCACACGTACTAGGTAAGTGCTCTACTACTAAGCCACAATCCCAGTCCCCAATTCCTATATTTTTATTCCAAGTTGCGGTAATAATAAAATGTTATTGATTGGAATCTAGTAGATAACACCTTGTTCTACTGGATCATCTGTCAAGGCTACCTAGAGATGTTACATGAATTCTCTAAGTTCATGTTGTCAGCTATTACAGAACTTGGTCTCTCCCTAGGTCTCCACAACACTGAGAATTTTGCCCCTCTTTTCCATGTGGTCTTTAAGAAATGTTAAGAGATTTTGCCAGCTTGCTTGTAGAGAAAAGTATTAGAAGTTTGGTTTATTAGCACTGTCTTCAGCCATATTTCCAATAAGTGTGGACATTTAAAACTGTTTCTCATGAAAAACATCTAACTTGTTTAGAGACTTCACTTTTGACTTAATCACTTTTCTTCCAGTCACATTCATTATTGAAGTTGCCAGAATTAAAATAAATCAAAATAAATTCAGTCATTTGAGAAGTAGTAGTTATTTCTAATGTTGGACTCTTTCTGTTAATCTTTGGGGGGGAGGCTTTTCTTGGCCCTGGGGCTATAGCTCAGGGGCAGAGCGTTTGCCTAGCATGTGTGAGGCACTAGGTTCAATCTTCAGCCCCACATAAAAATAAATAAATAAGCTGGGCATCGTGGTGCACTCCTATAATTCCAGTGGCTTGGGAGGCTAAGAGACAGGAGGATCGCAAGTTCAAAGCTAGCTTTAGCAATGGCAAGGCCCTAAGTAACTTGGGGGAGATCCTGTTTTTAAATAAACTACAACAACCAGGGCTGGGGATATAGCTCAGTGGTTGAGTGCCCCTAAATTCAACCCCTGGTACCCGCTCCACAATAGATAGATAGGTAGGTAGATAGATAGATAGATAGGTAAACTGTATCATATCTATCTATAACTAAATATATATATATATATATATATATATATATATATATATTTTTTTTTTTTTTTTTTAAAAAGGCTTTTCTTATCAGACTGGAAAACCTATTAAGCTATAGAAAATAGATCTAACTCTGTACCTGAGGCAGGAGAATTGCAAGTTTGAGACTAGCCTGGGCAACTTAGTGAGACCCTGTGTCAAAATAAAAGATAAAAAGGTTTAAGGATGTAGCTCAGTTGTAGAGTACCCTTGAGTTCAGTCCCCAATGCTGACAAACAAACAAACAAAAACCCAACAAAACAAAACAAAAATATCAAACTCTATGCCTGATGGTCTTAATCTGCCTCCTGATCGTTCTTCAAATTTAAATCACCACCTAGACTTTAAGATTAAAACCTCAGT